CATCCCCTTTACACAAAAGGAAATGCCGTGAGTTTAAGTGATCTGCCTACTACCACAGACTGCAACTGTGTGATTCAAAGAGCATGCACTGAGTGCCCTTTGTAGACAAGTGAGGCATGGCGGGGTAGGGCTGAGGTCCTGAGTCCTGCTGAGACCTGGGTCAACTGGCTCCATCGTCATGGGCTGTGCCATCTTGGGCAGGATACTCTTAGTCTCAGTGCCCTCTCTTAGTCTCAGTGCCCTCTTTGGGGCTGTGAGGATGGTGATAGCCTCAAGGCACTGTTGTATTGTAGGGATAACACTTACCAAGCCCCAAACTCTCTGTCTGCCTTTCTTGCTTGCTTTTTAAAACATGGCACTATGCTCTGTCCCAATGGTAAATCCTTTTTCCATTCTTGTTACAACTTCTCCAGCTATAAAAGAAGAGTGTGGGCTTTGAGGTCTCTTCCATAAGACCCTCTGTGGACTATGCTGACTTCTTGGAAATAAGCTATTCCTTCTCTTTCCACGTCCCCTCTTCATATCAACTTTAAATAGAATGCGGCCTCTCAGCCCAGGTGCTGCCAAAACATAAGGCATGCTATGCTGGTTCCATAGCGTCCCAGAATCCTCTTCACATCACTGGATTCTGGGAGAAGGGGAGGTTTCTAAGGAGGAGTAGTCACATTTCCCGAGACCCTTCTTTCTACCTCAGTCGGCAGCCTATGTGGAGTTGGAAGAGCGGGACGATCCTGGCAGACCAAACAGGCCACGTCTAGTGGGGTGGGCACTGCAGGGGACATGGAGGCAGGATCCCAACCTTGTTAGCATCTGCTTACCGTGTAGTGAAGTCCAGTATGGGTTTCATCTAGTTAAAAGCAAATCATACTAAAAAGAAATAATGGAGGACAACTTAAAGTAACATACTGTCCAAACCAGATACAGAAGAAAAGTTCAGACTCCCTGGTGCTTTTGTTACAACAGCAACCACATTTCCATGTCCCCTGCCTCCCATTGCCTTCCCCGCCCACCCCTACTCTGTCTGCCCTTAAATGACATCAGTGAAAAACCACCACCATTGGTTTTTGCAGTCATAAAAGCAATAGAACTAGGAGGAAACTTTGCACATCCATAGGCTGTCTTTAGATGGGGAAGTGACATTTATCCAATTTCCACACAGAGGCAGCTGAGGTCCAGAGAATTCAAGGGCCTGCCCTGAGGTCTAGAAAGAGGGAGCTAGCTGCCCCTCAGTCAGTACTCTCTAGGTCCATTTTCCTGTGCTGGTTTGTCTGAAAGCAGTTCTCACCTGCTCAGCCTGGCACTCCAGACTCGACTTCCTGCTCTCAGTGCCACCACATCTCCAATACCACCCCTCTGCTCTCAGCTAGCTGTGTCAACACTCCAATGAATGAGGGCACGCTGCCACCCCACCCAAAGCCCCCTCCATGACAGCTGGGCAAGGGCTGCCAGCGCACTCACAATGTTGCCTATGTGGAGCATGGCTCTGAGGGCAGCGCTCATGCCGTGCTGCTCCATGACCGTGAAGACTGCGAGGGTTCTAGAGGGGAGGGGGTGGGGGATGGGCTAGCCTGGTGACGGGTATTAAAGAGGGCATGTACTGCGTGGAGCACTGGGTGTTATACGCAAACAATGAGTCATGGAACACTACATCAAAAACTAATGATGTAATGTACGGTGATTAACATAACATTAAAAAAGACTGTTCACCACAACACACAATGGGATGGTGAACTCCGCAAAGGGGTCCATCACAATCCCAAAGAGAAGCGTCTTGAGCTTCACCCACATGGGGCAGCACTCCCAGATCAGATACTTCTGAGCCAAGCTGGTCAAGCAGGGTGGGCACCTCTGTTCGGACTCCTCGAATTCTGTATCACAGATGTGGTCGAAGACAGCTGTCAGCCATGTATCCCCTCAGACTCCCATCCCCAGGCCATCCCGTAGACCTTGTCAATACTAATACCACTTGCAGTCTCCACCCCAGCACCCTGCTCTAATGACCATTTCCTACTTTCTGAGCTCCTTTAGTCCAGCAAGCAAAGTCCAATCTCTGTCCCCATTTAGTCCCCCAAAGCAAGGACCCTACACTTTTAAATTGCCCATCATCTATGTCATATTCTTAGTTCTCAGTTTACCTGACTTAGATTTCACGTCCGCCCCTCTATATACCCCCTTGCAGACACCCTCAGTTCCCTTGCCCTTCTCACTCCTCTCCTCCCCTGAACATGTCTGCACCTACACCCAATCAGGTAAACCTGGTTGTAGAAAAACTATACAATCATGCTGACTGGTCCCACTAGCAATTCATGAGTCCCAGCTTGTCACAAGCCAGAAATCTTGCTGTTTCTCCAGACAGGCGGGGGCGGTAGGCCATCTCAGGCAGCGGTGGCAGGAAGCGGTGGCAGGCTGCGGTAAGCAGCGGCAGCCAGGCGTCGGTAAGCAGTGGCTGGCAGGCAGGCTGCCGCAGTGGGAGGGAGGCAGCAGCGCAGATGGCAACAGGCGGTGGCGGCAGAAAGCGGCGACAGGCAGGTGGCGGCAGGCAGCTGGTGGCGGCAGGAAGCAGTGGCAGGCGGGTGGCGGGGGCAGGTGGTGGCCGCAGGCAGCAGTGTTCCGGAGGCGGGAGTTGCAGCTGTTGGGAGGCGGCAGCAGTAGGCATGCGGTGGTGGCGGGCTGCGGTGGCGGGCAGTGGTAAGCGGCAGCAGGCGGCGGTGGTAAGGAAGCAGCAGCGGGCCGTGGCGGGCAGGGGGCAGCGGGGGCAGGCAGGCGGTGGCAGGCAACGTCGGCAGCGGGCTGCAGGCGGCCGTGGTAGGCAGGTGGTGGTGGTGGTGGTGGCAGGTGGCGGCGGTAGGCACCGGTAAGCGGGCAGGGGGTGCGGGCAGGCAGGCGGGGGCAGGGGGGATGCAGGCAAGGGCTGCGGGCGGCGGCAGGCAAGGTTGGCAGACAGGTTTGGCAGACAGGCGGTGGTGGTAGGTAGTAGCAGGCAGCCCCGGCAGGAAGGGAAGGCAGGCGGCGGGGCAGGCACCTTGGCAGCAGGAGGTGGCAGGAAGCAGCGGCAGGGAAGGAAGGCAGGCGGCGGGGCAGGCGGCAGCGGCAGCGGCAGGTGGTGACAGGAAGCAGCGGCAGGAAGTGAAGGCAGGCGTCAGGGCAGGCGGCAGTGGCAGCAGGCGGCAGCGCGGGCAGGCTGTGGTAAGCAGGGGCTGGCAGCCGGGCAGCCGCAGGTAATGGAGGCGGGCCGTGCGAGGAGGTAGCAGGCGGCAGCGGCGGCAGGGGGCAGGGGCAGGTAGGCTGCGGCAGGCAGGTGGCAGGCAGTTGCAGGCAGACTGCAGCACTGGGGATACGCAGTAGCCGCAGGCGGCAACAGGCAGTGGCGGCAGGAAGCGGGGGCGGGCAGGTGGTGGGGGCAGGTAGTGGCGGCCGGCAGGCCCCGGCTAGGGGCAGGCAGGGGGCGACGGCGGCAAGAGGTGGCAGACGGGGGCAGGCAGTGGTAAGCGGCGGGAGGAAGCGGCGGCAGGTGGCAGGGCCAGGCAGCAGCGTTAGGTAGGCGGCAGCGGTAGGCACGTGGTGGCGGTGGGCTGCCGTGGCGGGTAGTGGTAAGTGGCAGCAGGCGGGGGTAGGCGGCGGTGGTAGGTAAGCAGCAGCAGGCCGTGGCGGGCTGCAGGCAGCAGGGGCCAGGCAGGAAGCGGCGGCTGACAGTCGCAGCCGGCCGTAAGCGGTGGCAGAAAGCGGCGGCAGGTGGCAGGGGCAGGTGGCAGGGGGAGGCGGGCCGCAGCGGCGGCAGGCAGTGAGGGCCGCAGACGGCAGCGGCGGCAGGCAGCAGCGGCAGGCGGTGGGGGCAAGCGGGCTGCAGGGGGCAGCAGCAGCAGGTGGCGGCGGTAGGCAGGCAACGTTGGCAGTCATCTTCGAGGTTAGGCAGCGGAGGCGGGTGGCAGTAGCCGCAGATGGCAACAGGCGGTGGTGGCAGGAAGCAGTGGCAGGCGGGGTGGCGGGGACAGGTGGTGGCCGCAGGCAGCAGTGTTAGGAAGTCGGGAATTGCAGCTGTTGGGAGGCGGCAGTAGTAGGCATGCGGTGGTGGCGGGCTGCGGTGGCGGGCAGTGGTAAGCGGCAGCAGGCGGCGGTGGTAAGGAAGCGGCAGCGGGCCGTGGCGGGCAGAGGGCAGTGGGGGCAGGCAGGCGGTGGCAGGCAACGTCGGCAGCGGGCTGCAGGCGGCCGCAGTAGGCAGGTGGTGGTGGTGGTGGCAGGTGGCGGCGGTAGGCACCGGTAAGCGGCGGCAGGGTTGCGGGCAGGCAGGCGGAGGCAGGGGGACACAGGCAAGGACGGCGGGCAGCGGCAGGCAGGGTTGGCAGACAGGTTAGGCAGACAGGCGGTGGTGGTAGGTAGTAGCAGGCAGCCCCGGCAGGAAGCGAAGGCAGGCGGCAGTGGCAGCAGGCAGCAGTGCAGGCAGGCTGTGGTAAGCAGTGGCTGGCAGTCAGGCAGCCACAAGCAAGGGAGGCGGGCGGTGCGAGGAGGTAGCAGGCGGCGGCGGCAGGAAGCGGTGGGACGCAGGCAGCTGGGGCAGCAGGCAGGCAAGCCCCCGCAGGCGGAAGGCAGGCGGCAACAGGAAGCGGCGGCAGCGGTGTCAGGCGGCGGTGGCAGGAAGCGGCGGGGGACAGCGGAGGCAGGTGGCGGGGGAAGGTGGCAGGAGGAGGCAGGCTGCAGCGGAGGCTGGCAGTGGGGGCAGCGGGCTGCAGGCGCCAGCGGTAGGCAGGCGGTTGCGGCAGGTAAGAGGTAGCAGGTGCAGGCTGCAGTAATCAGCGGCTGGCAGGCAGGCCACGGCAGGTAAGGGCCACGGTTGGTGCAAGGATATAGTAGTTGGCGGCGGCAGGCAGGCGGCGGGGGCAGGCAGGTGGCAGACAGCAGCATTAGGCAGGCGGCAGCTGTGGTGATTGGCAGGTGGCAGCGGTAGGCCAGCGGTGCCGGCAGTGGAGGGGTTAGGCAGGCAGCGTTGGCATGCATTCTCGGGGTTAGGTAGCTGGGCCCGGTGGAGCCAGGCTGCGGCAGCAGACGGCGGCGGCAGGCAGGCGGCCACGGATGCCGGCGGGCAGCAGGCTGGAGGCGCAGGCAAGGGCGGTGGGTGGCAGAAGGCAGGTGGCGGTGGCAGGCAGAGGTAAGCGGCAGCAGGGGGCGGCAGTGGCAGACGGCAGTGGTAGTAGTGACTGGTGGTGGCAGCAGGCAGGCGGTGGCAGGCGGCGGTGGCAGGCAGCAGCAGGCATGTGGTGGCAGTCAGTGACAGGTGGCGGCGGGCAGCAGCAGAGGTGGCGGCGGTGACAGCACCAGCGGGTGGCGTCTGCGGCTGCAGCGGCTGCAGGGGCGGCAAGGGCTACAGGGGCGCCAGCTTTGGGCAGCCCCGGGTCATTGGGCGGCAGTGTGTGGCAGCCTCAGCAGCAGGTGCCATTGGCTTCAGCCGGAGTCACCGGTGGGGGAAGTAGGCGCCGCGATAGGGGCGGGGTCAGCAGCAGGCGGGTCAGCTTTGGCAGCGTGTGTCAGCGTGGGGAGGGGCGCCAGAAGCGCAGGCGGGCATCTGCGGGTTACGCGGCGGCGTCAGCGGCGTCAGCGGCGTCAGCGGCGTCAGCGGCGTCAGCGGCGTCAGCGGCGTCAGCGGCGTCAGCGGCGTCAGCGGCGTCAGCGGCGTCAGCGGCGTCAGCGGCGTCAGCGGCGTCAGCGGCGTCAGCGGCGTCAGCGGCGTCAGCGGCGTCAGCAGTAGTGCTGGGGTCAATCGGCTTCAGCGTTGGGGAGCAGCGGAAGCTCCGGGCAGCAGAGGCAGCAGCAGGAAGCAGGCGGCGGCAGAGGTGGCAGGAAGCAGGCGGCGGCAGCGGTAGGTGCCGGGTTAGTGGGGGTCAGTATGTGGCAGCAGGAGGCGGTGGAGGCAGTGGAGGCAGGGGGCAACAGTAAGCGGTGGAGGCAGGGAGGCAGGTAGCGGCAGGCAAGTGTGGTGGGCGGCGGCAGGCAAGGTTGGCAGCAGGCGCCGGCGGTAGGCGATTGTAGGCGGCGACAGGAAGCGGTGGCAGGCTGTGGTAAGCAACGGCAGGCAGGCAAGGGCGGCGGGTGGTGGAAGGAGGTAGCAGACGGCGACGGCGGCAGGGGGCGGGGGCAGGCAGGCTGCGGCAGGCAGGTGGCAGGCAGTTGCAGGCAGACTACAGCTTTGGCGGTAGGCAGTAGCCGCAGGCGGCAACAGGCGGTGGCGGCAGGAAGCGGCGGTGGGCAGGTGGTGGGGGCAGGTGCTGGTGGCTGGCAGGCCCCGGCTAGGGGCAGGCAGGGGGCGGCGGTGGCAAGAGGTGGCAGACGGGGGCAGGCAGTGGTAAGCGGCGGGAGGAAGCGGCGGCAGGCGGCAGGGCCAGGCAGCAGCGTTAGGTAGGCGGCAGCGGTAGGCACGTGGTGGCTGTGGGTTGCCGTGGCGGGTAGTGGTAAGTGGCAGCAGGCGGTGGTAGGCGGCGGTGGTAGGTAAGCAGCAGCAGGCCGTGGCGGGCTGCAGGCTGCAGGGGCCAGGCAGGAAGCGGCGGCTGACATTCGCAGCCGGCCGTAAGCAGTTGCAGAAAGCGGCGGCAGGCGGCAGGGGCAGGTGGCAGGGGGAGGCGGGCCGCAGCGGCGGCCGGCAGTGAGGGCAGCAGAGGGCAGCGGCGTCAGTCGGCAGCGGCAGGCGGTGGGGGCAAGTGGGCTGCAGGGGGGCAGCGGCAGCAGGTGGCGGCGGTAGGCAGGCAACATTGGCAGGCATCGTCGAGGTTAGGCAGCGGAGGCGGGTGGCAGTAGCCGCAGATGGCAACAGGCGGTGGTGGCAGGAAGCAGTGGCAGGCGGGTGGCGGGGACAGGTGGTGGCCGCAGGCAGCAGTGTTAGGAAGGCGGGAATTGCAGCTGTTGGGAGGCGGCAGTAGTAGGCATGCGGTGGTGGCGGGCTGCGGTGGCGGGCAGTGGTAAGCGGCAGCAGGCGGCGGTGGTAAGGAAGCGGCAGCGGGCCGTGGCGGGCAGCGGGCAGTGGGGGCAGGCAGGCGGTGGCAGGCAACGTCGGCAGCGGGCTGCAGGCGGCCGCGGTAGGCAGGTGGTGGTGGTGGTGGCAGGTGGTGGCGGTAGGCACCGGTAAGCGGTGGCAGGGGGTGCGGGCAGGCAGGCGGAGGCAGGGGGACACAGGCAAGGATGCCGGGCGGCGGCAGACAGGTTTGGCAGACAGGCGGTGGTGGTAGGTAGTAGCAGGCAGCCCCAGCAGGAAGCGAAGGCAGGCGGCAGTGGCAGCAGGCGGCAGCGCGGGCAGGTTGTGGTAAGCAGTGGCTGGCAGTCAGGCAGCCACAAGCAAGGGAGGCGGGCCGTGCGAGGAGGTAGCAGGCAGCGGCGGCAGGAAGCGGTGGGATGCAGGCAGCTGGGGCGGCAGGCAGGCAAGCCCCGGCAAGCCGTCAGGCAGGCGGCAACAGGAAGCGGCGGCAGCGGTGTCAGGCGGCAGTGGCAGGAAGCCACGGGAGACAGCGGAGGCAGGTGGCGGGGGAAGGTGGCAGGAGGAGGCAGGCTGCAGCGGAGGCAGGCAGTGGGGGCAGCGGGCTGCAGGCGCCAGCGGTAGGCAGGCAGTGGCGGCAGGTAAGAGGTAGCAGGTGCAGGCTGCAGTAAGCAGCGGCTGGCAGGCAGACCACGGCAGGTAAGGGCCGCGGGTGGTGCAAGGATATAGCAGGCGGGAGCAGCAGGCAGGCAGCGGGGGCAGGCATGTGGCAGACAGCAGCATTAGGCAGGCGGCAGCTGTGGCGATTGGCAGGTGGCAGCGGTAGGCCGGCGGTGCCGGCAGCGGTGGTGGTAGGCAAGCAGCGTTGGCATGCATTCTCGGGGTTAGGTAGCTGGGTCTGGTGGAGCCAGGCTGCGGCAGCAGATGGCGGTGGAAGGCAGGCGGCCACGGATGCCGGCAGGCAGCAGGCTGTAGGCGCAGGCAAGGGCGGTGGGTGGCAGAAGGCACGTGGCGGCGGCAGGCAGAGGTAAGCGGAAGCAGGGGCGGCAGTGGCAGACGGCAGTGGTAGTACTGACTGGTGGCGGCAGCAGCAAGGCGGTGGCAGGCGGCGGTGGCAGCAGTGGTGGGCAGCGGCGGCAGGCAGCAGCAGGCAGGCGGTGGCAGTCAGTGGCAGGCAGCAGCGGGCAGTAGCAGAGGTGGCAGCGGTGACAGCACCAGCAGGTGCAGCGGCTACAGGGGCAGCAAGGGCTGCAGGGGCGCCAGCTTTGGGCAGCCCCGGGTCATTGGGCGGCGGTGTGTGGCAGCCTCAACAGCAGGTGCCATTGGCTTCAGCCGGAGTCACCGGTGGGGGAAGTAGGCGCCGCGATAGGGGCGGGGTCAGCAGCAGGCGGGTCAGCGTTGGCAGCGTGTGTCAGCGTGGGGAGGGGCGCCTGAAACGCCGGCGGGCAACTGCGGGTTACGCGGCGGCCGCGGCGGCCGCAGTGGCAGCAGTAGTGATGGCGTCAGTCGGCTTCAGCGTTGGGCAGCAGCGGAAGCTTCGGGCAGCAGAGGCAGTAGCAGGAGTATCAGCATCGGGCGGCGGCAGCGGTAGGTGCCGGGTTAGTGGGGGTCAGTATGTGGCAGCTGGAGGCGGTGGAGGCAGTGGAGGCAGGGGGAGGCAGTAAATGGTGGGGGCAGGGAGGCAGGTAGCAGCAGGCAAGTGTGGTGGGCGGCGGCAGGCAGGGTTGGCAGCAGGCGCCGGCGGTAGGCGATTGCAGGCGGCGGCAGGAAGCGGTGGCAGGCTGTGGTAAGCAACGGCAAGCAGGCAAGGGCGGCGGGTGGTGGAAGGAGGTAGCAGACGGCGACGGCGGCAGGGGGCGGGGGCAGGCAGGCTGCGGCAGGCAGGTGGCAGGCAGTTGCAGGCAGACTGCAGCATTGGGGGTAGGCAGTAGCCGCAGGTGGCAACAGGTGATGGCGGCAGGAAGCGGCGGCGGGCAGGTGGCTGGGGCGGTAGGCAGCGGTAACTGGCAGCAGCTGGCGGGGGCAGCGGCCCAGTGGCGATAGGGGCAGGGTCAGCGCTGGGCAGCCAGCGCTAGCAAGCAGCAGGCGGCAGAGGGCGGCAGCGTGGGCCAGCCGCCTCGGCGGTCAGCAGCAGTGTCTGCGATGGACAGCGGGTGTCAGTGGCGGTAGCTGGGGGCAGTGGCGGTATGGCTGGGAGCAGAGGGAGCCGGGGGCAACGGCGTCCTTGGAACCCTAGCATGCTGCGGTTCCGAGGAAGAGGTGCCCCTCAGCCTGGTATCTGCAGGGGACACAGGGGGCCACCCAGGACCCAGAGGCCGAGCCTGAGGCGGAGTGCCAAGTCCTGCTTCCTCCCATTGGGGAGGCCAGGTGAGTTCGGCCTCTGCCCTGGGCCTGAGCTTCAGTCTCTCCATCTGTAAAGTGGGCAGAACAGCAAAACCTTAGGGTTATGGTGCAGATTTAACATAGGTAATGGGTTTCCTCTAGACTGGTTCAGAGTACAGGTTGTCATTCCTCTTATTCCACTTCCAGCTGTGTGACCTTGAGCAAGATAGGTAATCGCCAGGCCTCAGAATTCTCATCTGAGAGATGGGCCTGCGAAGAGGACCTATATAGGCTTGTTTTGGGGATTTAGTGAAGTAGTACACAGAACCCATTTCCAAAGTCAATATAAATCATGGTTCCTGGCACGAGATAAGTGCAGTACGAGTCTTTGAGATTAATATCACAGAAGTATTAGTTATTGTTACTGCTAGCACCGGGGAAGGAACACCGTGATTGCCATCCTCATGATTATCATCGTGAGTTAATTGAGGAGCTGCTCTGTGCCTGGCGCTGGCTAAGCATTCTACACCCTTTATCAGTTTGCACATCTCCGTGGGCTAGGATCCTGATAGGCCTCTGAGTCTTAGAGACGCAGATAGTGCTTGGAACCAGATTTCAAGCCCTTGTCATTGCAGCTCCAAAACCTGTGCTTCCAGCCTCTCCATGATTGGGGCGTATCCGAAACCCTCATGCCTCTCTGCTTGACTCTGCACCTTACAGCTTAGAATAGGGCCTAACACAGAGGAATACAGAGGGATAAGTATTCTCTATTTCTGTTACCGTCGTAGTCTTTATTCACTTGCATGCTTTATGGGCACAGATGTAATGGCGGTGGTTAGTGATTCAGATCAAGAGCTGACAGACCATCCCAACTGAGAGAAATGAGACCCATTTTATGTGCTCCTCTCCCCCTAGAATGACGGTCAAGAGACAGTGATGACTCAGAGGTTGCCAGTGAGTTAAAGAAGTTGGCTGCCCAGCCGCAAGAGCCTGAGTAGACCGCAGCGGCGACCTTTGGTAGCATCTCAAAAGACACCTACACGATGGAACATGCCCAGGGATTTGGAAAACCGGTAAGGCACTTTCCATACACCCTGCCTTGTTCTTCCTCAGCTTCTTCAGTATCTCCCAGGAACTCCCTGCTTCTTCCTGTACCCCTAAGCGGGATGCAGTGCCCACTGCTCTGGGTAGAGAGGAGCCCAGCACTTTACATGCTGTTCTGTGCACGCACTCACCAGTGTACAAAGCTCTCCTTTAGCCTCTGTGAGGAACAGGAGGGCAGTTTCCCGCACAGATTTGGGCAGGTCCCTGCACTTTCTGAGTCCCCTGAACAATGGTGTACGGCTTACCTGTTTAAATCCAGTTTTGTCTTGGAGTGTTTTACAAGACCTTTTCCTTAGGATAACTTGTAAGATCACTCTCTTTACAACGTCAAAGCTTGTAATACAGTGTTATTAACTATAGCCGCCATGTTGTACGTTACATCCTGTGACTGACTTACTTTATACCTGTAAGTTTGAACCTTTGACCCTTGTCACCCATTTCACACCCATCCCCCTGCCTGTCAACCACCAATCTGACTGCTGTACTTTTAAGCTCAGTTTTTTGGTGGTTTTAGATTCCATATAAAAGTGTTGTCTTAGAGTTTTTGTCTCTGACTTCTTTCAGTTAGCATCGTGCCCTCAGGGTCCATCCATGTTGTAAAAAGAACGATTTCGTTTTTTGTTATGGCTAAAGAGTATTGCAGCGTCTACATACACCACATCTTCCTTATCGATTCATCCCTCCCTGGACATGTAGGTTGTCCTCCTATCTTAGCTGTTATGAATAATGCTGCAGTGAACATGGGGGTTCAGATATCTTTGCAAGTGGGTGTTTTTGTTTTCTTTGGCTAAATGGCCAGGAGAAAAATTGCTGGATTGTAGGCTCGTTCTAGTTTTAATGTTTTGAGGAGCCTGCATACTCTTTTCCACAGTGGATGCACCTACCTACGTTCCCACCAACAGCTCACTGGGGTTCCCTTTCGGCCACATCCTTGCTAACATGTGTTATTTCTCATCTTTTTGATACTAAGTTTTCTAACCAGTGTGAGGTGCTATCCCATTGTTGTTTTGATTTGCATTTCCCTGATGATTCATGATGTTGCGCATCTTTTCACGTCCCTGTTGGCTCTCTGGATGTCTTCTCTGGATAATGTCCATTTGGATAACCCTCCCACTTTTTAACCACTTTGTTTTTTGCTGTAGTTATTGAGTGTAGGAGTGCTTTATATGTACTGGATCCTAATGTTTTGTTTGTTTTTTTTTTTTTGAAATATTTTTTCATTTATTTATTTGAGAGAGAGAATGAGATAGAGAGCATGAGAGGGGGGAGGGTCAGAGGGAGAAGCAGACTCCCTGCTGAGCAGGGAGCCTGACGTGGGACTCGATCCCGGGACTCTGGGATCATGACCTAAGCCGAAGGCAGTCGCTTAACCAACTGAGCCACCCAGGCGCCCCTCCATACAAATTTTAAAGATTCTTTGCCTTTTGTCTGTAAAACGTGTTTCGAATTTTGGTAAGAATTGCATTCAATCTCTAGACGGTTTTCGGTATTAAGACATTTTAACACTTAATTCTTCTAATCCATGAGCATGGAATGTCGATTTACTTGTGTTGTCTTCCGTTTCTTTCCTTAGTGTCTTACAGTTTTCAGTATATAGGCTTTCACCTCCTTGGTTAAATTTATCTTTAAGTGTTTTTTGTTTTTTTTGATGCAGTTTTAAATATGATTTTTTTAATTTATTTTCCTGTTCATTATTAGTATATAAAAATGGAACATATTTTTATGTACTTTTTATCCTGCAACTTTATTGAATCTGTTTAATAGCTTTTTTCATGTTGTTTTTAGGGGTTTTTTACATATAAAATGTCATTTGAATATAGTGACCTTTACTTCTTTCTTTCCAATTTGGATGTATTTTATTTCTTTATTTTTCTTGTGTAATTGCTCTGGCTGGGATTTCCAGTAGTATAGTTGACCGTTGTCCATCGTCGGTTTGAATTGTGTGGTCCACTTAATACATTTTTTATTCAGTAAATACAGGCATTGCTTGTAAAGGTATTGTCCTTTTGAATTTTTTTTTCTTTTAAAATGATTATTTATATTCTACTTACTTAGCAATATTGGTTTCAGGAGAATTCCGTGATTCATGACTTGCTTACAACCCCTACTACTCATCATAACAGTGCCCTCCTTAATCCCATCACCCAGCTAGACCATCCCCCAAACACCTCCCCTCTGTCAAATCTCTGTTTTCCAGCATCAAGAGTTTCTTACAGTTTGTTTCCCTCTCTGTTCTTTGTATTCCCCCTCCCATTTGTTGATCTGTTTTGTTTCTTAAATCCATAGGAGTGAAATCACATGGTATTCGTCTTTCTCTGACTCACTATTTTGCTTAGCATAATACACTCTAGCTTCATCAGGATTTTTTTTTTAAAGAATTTATTTATTTCTTTTTCTTTTTTTTTAATTTTATTATGTTATGTTAGTCACCATACAATACATCATTACTT